TTTGAAGACACCATGAGAAGACAAGCTTTACTCGAAGTCAAGGATGCTGGGTAAAGTGGAAGGCAGCAGGAGAACAAGAAGAAGGGACATGAGACTTCAATAGGCTTCTGGCCACTAAATATTATGTAGTAGGAATCTGTTCTTAATCGTGGCATGTGCATTGGGAGCCTGTCACAGATGTGGGCTAAAAATAATTTAAAGGCATGGTCATGTTTTTAAAAAAACAAGAACATAACTAAAATCAACAAACGGAACCTACAAGAAAATGTGGTAGACGGTGCTCTTGGTCAATATACGAGTAGCCAGGGCTATTGGAACTTAGCAATATCATATCTAGGGAGATAGGCTTCAACAACTTATCACCACGCAGGCTGGTAAATAAAAAAAATACATGAAAATTGCTTTGGGGAATAGGAAATACTAAGGTATGTTCTAAAACTTATAAAAGGTCTGATAGATTCCTAGCAAAAGAGATACATCTAGAACATTTGCATGCTTTTATGTTCCTCAGAAAGCCCTGACCTTAACATAAATTTACCTTACATTCAAATGATGTGTGCACTGTTTTTTTTTTTAAAGAAGAGTTCCCACACTTTTTGTGCTTCCCCAAATCCATGATTTATTATTTGTGTTGCTTTGTACCTGGCTGGAATTTAGCAGTGGAGTAGTTCTTTCTACTCTTCCACAAACTGGTGTAGGGAAGGGAGAATCTATGGCCCTATAGGGCTTTTAGTGAGTTCAACCTGGCATATGCTTTACTGCCCTATGGAATATTTTTTCTTTGCGAGCCTTTGTGCACCTCCACCCTTAGGGGAAGGAGAACAGAACATGCCCTTTTCTTCCCATGTACATACTGTAGAGCAGGGGTCCCCAACGCCTGGTCCACAACCCAGCAGCAGTCCGCAGCCTAGGCAGGACCAGGCTGCAGACACAGCACAGATCCGATCCCCCCAAGCACTACTGCACACTAGGAACAACAAGGCTGGCAGACAGGCAAGGCAGGAATAACTGCACAGCCGGAGACCTTCATTGCTGAGTCAAACGTTTGTAGGGAAAGCCTGTTCTCATATAGCCCAGTCCTCAGATTCCACAGGTGGCCCTCCTGAGGAGCTGGGCAATAGCTGCAGGGAAAGGACCCAGTCCTGCAGTATCTAGAGCAGTTCTCCCCAGAGGAATGGGGCTGATACTGCATGCACTAAGGTTGCATGGTTCCGGCATAGCCCCAGTCCTGACAGAACTATGCCCTCCATGTGTGGTTCAGACTACTGAATAGGGCTTTTCTCAGCACCCACTCCTGTTGCTGCAGAGTAACAATCACAGGTCCCCCAGTGTTCTGATGGTGAATGTCCTGTGATGGAGGAGCCTGCTGCTGACATGGTTCAGCATAGGAAGTTCATGTTTATGTCATGGCAGAGGACACACGTATGGGTTCACAGACGGAAGGAAGAAATAGCATCCATTCTTTGCTTCTTTCCCTAGTTTTATATGCTTTAAAAGGGAAAGAAACCTCCCACCCTCAGGTTACCTCAAAGTGAGCTGCAGCACACACGTGCCTTCTATCACTAAAAGAAGCAATGTTGTTGTGTGATTCTCAAGACCAAGGATGTTGGCCCCTTTTCCTAGCAGGTGACGACTGCTGGCAGACAACACAATTATCATTGGGCCCAACCCACATGTTAAAAAAGTGTGCAAGGTCCAGATCTCCATGATATGGTACATAAGAATATGGTTAGAAGAAGAAAAAATGAAGTCCAATAATTACAGTGCATGCCCTGTCTTGAGGTCTTCAATTAAATTAATTCCAAAGATGGGGAGAGCAAACTAAAAGAAGCACTGGTAGAAATAGGGGCATGTGTCAGGTGACACCTAGCAATGGATTCTAGGATAATAACCCTAATGGCTGGTCCCTGTGTCTGGAAATGCAAAATCTGGTTTCATCTTATGCATATTAAAGCACTGCAAGAAGCAGCTGTAAGTATACTTGGGAAGCAACAATATGTTTCACCCAAAGAAAAACATTTCCCATTAAGGGATTTGGTACTTCTTCTAGGAAATAAGCACTGGGAGGCAGGGAGATCAATACATAAATCCCAGAGGACTAGGCCCAAGGGGAACATGTTGAAATAACAGTAATAAGATAATAACAGATATTCTTAGAAATCTGCAGTTATCTCCATTTGAAGTTCTAACTAGTTAAAGAATGGAAGGGTAAAATAGTGCAGCAGGCTTCTTAGCATTGCTTCTAAAGGACTCATTAAAGGTCCAGCCTGAACTAGAAGCAAAAGCAAAGAACAATGCTATCAGCCATTTGGGAAACCTTGGTGTGATACCAATTATCATAGACAACCATGTTTTGCCAAGTTTATCATGACACAATTGACGCCTTGTAGCCATCAGCCACTCTTCTCCTTTGGCAAGTAGGTGACACTGGACCTCAAGAGATCACCCTTAAATATTAGAATATATCCATTATGCCCCAGTGATAGGATATTGAGTAGCCCACACAAGCCACTGTGTATCAGATCCAGCACTCTGGTGCTTCTTTTCTCAGTCCTTGGCAGGAATGAGGACCTAACGCTCTTGTCTGTGATACAGTTTACACACTTGATTGTATATTGGTTGCATTCTGTAGGTTTATCTTGATATTCATAGCATGTTTTGCTATAGGTATCAAGAAAACTTTGCAGCTCCAGAATTGCTTTCAGATTTCTGTGTGTAATATGACGATGCCATAACTCCATGCTGTTGTCATCTTCTCTCTGAGTTTGCACTGTGCTGATCTGCTACTGTTTATTTAAAAGACTCCATTCATAGATACCATTATACTTGACTGCTTGAAAATATATCTCACCATCTTTCATTACTGTACACTGTCCATTTTCAAAATGTATAGAAAAACCTTTTTTCATCCAAAGCTGATGCACTTAACATGCTGTACTGTTGTTCATCACATGGAAGGAAAAGGAACTGGCATTTTTGCAATGTGAACTGTTTGATGAAATAAGCAAGAATACTCTATTTCATCAAACAGTTCACATTGCAAAAATGCCAGTTCCTTTTCCTTCCATTTTCATGGAGTCACCATTAGCAACTTGAATATTTCCAGTGGATCTTTCATTTGGATTTATAAAGAAAACTAGTACAGTACAGCTTGTATTGGTTGAGGAATTTCTCAGGAATGGGCACTCATTTGTCATATGACCCTTCCCATGACCATTCCCACTTAGCACAAAATTTGAGCCACTTTCAGTTGAGGTCTCATGGCAAGACAAATACTTTTGGGAAATATATTCGCAAAGGCTTTCACGGCCGGGATGTAATGGTTGTTCTGGGTTTTTTGGGCTCTTCGGCCGTGTTCTGAAGGTTGTTCTTCCTAATGTTTCGCCAGCCTCTGTGGCCGGCATCTTCAGAGGACAGCAACCTGGTTATAAAATACAGCATGCACCTTTAAAGCTATGAGGTTAAACTGCAATTTTTCTTTCCATAGAGAGAAAGAAATTCAGAGATACTAACTCTGGAAGTTTAAAAAAAGAAAAGAAATTCCTTTATTCAATCAAGATCCATTTTTCTTCTTTCTGAGCAAGTTTGATCAGGAATCAAGGAAGGAAGGAAGGAAGGAACTCTTTCTCTTCAACCAGGGAAGGAGAGAAGAAAATTGCAAACACTCTGAAAAACAATAAAGCACGAAAAATACTTGTTATTTGTCCATTTCTCTGGTCTCTGGGCCCATAACATGTTGCAGAGTTTTGAATTTCTGTAAAAAAAATATATTTTTGCTGCACTATAGAAAGACAGAGATCCACAGAGAAGAATAGCGTCACATTCCCCAGAATCCACTCCTTTCTCATTAAATAGCACTTACAGTCTTAATAACTCACTCTGAGATATTTGTAGAAGAAAGAATAAAAACGTTACTTTCAGGTGCTTGAAATTGAAGAGTTGTTTATACTTTATTTTTTTTATTGCACACATACTAGAAACCAATTGAACGTATGAACGGCAACAAACAACTGTCACCAACTGATCAAAGAATGGGGTAGAACAGTCAGTTGAGAGGCAGGGCTCTCTTTCAGTTTCAGAAGCTGGAATAAATGATTGATTAATGCTGGATAGTCACTCCACCCCAGAAAAGTTCCTATCAGTCATTCAAACTACAGACAGCATGTGAGTTTATAAATAAAACTTCAACACTGCCAGTACCAACAACAAGAACAGCAACAGCAACAGCAACAGCAAGTAGAAGCTCCTGAAAGAAACCAGAGAGGTGCAGGTACGACCATTCTAGGGCTGGTTTGCTCCAGCAAAGACATAATCTGATCATCATATTTATGAGCAAACCACCTCATCCTTGCAACAGACCGAATGGCCGGCTAAACATACAAGTCAGCCTCTCTGTTTTAGTTTTGCTAGGTACCTTGGCCAACTTGTTGGCTTTAACACATTTTATCAAGGGCTCATCAAGACAGAGGATTAGATGCCTTATATGTACCCTGTTGTAGAATGATGGTTTTGGTATTTTTTCCAATGTGCAGATTATGCAAGGCTTAAATCAGTATCAACAGCAAAAAAACAAAAGAGTAACAAAAACTTTGGCTTCCTGTTTGTTTCTGTTAAAACCACCTCCTGTGTTTGGTTTCATTGTGTATCAGGGCAGAGTTCAGACAGCAAGCGTTTGTGGAGCTGGAAGCTTTCAATGTTAGCACTAATCTACTGATAAACAAACCAAAAGACCCAACAAAAATGTAGCACAGTTAATTCCGGAAAGGTTTAAAGGGGAGGTGTCACCATTTTTGAAAGAATTATTGTAAAAGGTAGCTGATTTCCCAAGTAGATTAGCAGCAGTGGGGTGAGACTCAGTTAAAAATGGCTCAGATCAGAAGTTTTTGGTGATTGTTGTATCCCTTGATAATACAACAGAACAAAAATTCCAGTACAGAAAATACTCCTTAAAGCTTTCTTCAAGCTTTTTGAAATATTATTGATTCATTTTTTTTAAACAGATGCTCTCAAAATGAAAAGGATTTTCAGAATAAATACAGACAGTTACCCCAGTATGAACTACAGTACTAGTCATTTGGCATCTAGCAACAGCAAATGGCCCAAAGGAGCAGAAATAAAGGCTTCATCTGGAAATACCCTAAGGTTAGTGTAAGACAGCTATGCTAATCTAGAGTCCTGTTATTTTAATGTATATTTTTGTTTTCCTATATAAATTGCAGTTTTGTTTGGGCCTGTACTTAATTTGTTCCTATGTTATTGAAAAAATCTGACATAATATCTCCAGTTGTCACTCACAAAACCTCTAGTTGTTTGGTAACTTGTCACAGGATGTGGTTACATACTAAAATACTCCCAGGTTTGTGTCAGGTTAAGCATGCTTGAAATCGGTGTTAAAAATCTATTTTCATAACGTACAACTGAGTGTGCATTTTTTTGGCTGGGAATCATGAGTTTTTGTTTGGAAGGTGAGGTATTTTAAACAGTCTCAAGGTGTTTGTTTATTTTAACTCAAATGTGGATGTTATTTATTTTGAATCATTTAGGAATGTGTACTCACATGTGTCAGAGTAAATTGTGTCTGTGGGGTTTGTCAAGTAATGAATGCTAGGATGATGAGTTTGGGGCGGAAGGGAAACCTTTCAGTCTGATTTTTCCCCTATTTGTAATACAGAACAAGCACTATCCTACTTTGAAGGAAATAATACAAATGTTGAAAATAACCCTGGCGGTAGCAGCAATGAGTGGTTGTGAGAGGCAGTCAGTGTAAGGGTAGGCGGTTGCAGGACAAAGTCTCAACCACAATACGTTTGTGGTGCCTGCCCGCCCTCATGCTGGCTGCCTCTCACAGCCACTCACAGCTGATGGTGTTATTTTTAATTTTTTTAAAAAAATTCTTTCAAACTGAGATGACACAACCTCAGTATTAGAAACAGGAAAAAACAACAGACCAGACTGCAAGTTTCACCTGATGTATTTCAATAGTGTAACTTGCCCACTATTGGCTTAATATGGAATTTTGAACAAGATGGTTAGAGCAAATCTTTAGTTAAGAGATGTACCAGCATAATAACATTTTTGTGAAAAATCAGGTACAGCTTTTCACTTGCTCCTGTTTACCAATCACATCACGAGCTTGTATCAAACCAGTAGTGATTCCTCCTCTAAACCTTCTAGGTGACATTAGGATGTGTTACACATACATCCCCTACTCTGAATAGCTCTTTGAATATACACCCCAAAACATTACTGCATACTAATGGTAAGTGAATGTTGTAGGCATGTAAATGTCCTACTCAGAAAAAGAAGGGTTTTGTTTATATAACAGTAGAATCCATTGTTTGATAGGGTGGTACATAACAAGCCAAAGTCTGAGAAACTTTGCTATTGTGAAGCGCTGTATTGCAAGAACCTGGTGACTCTGAATTTATTGGAGGCATTTCTTAAATTTCATTGCCCACTCAATGGCATGAAAAAACTCAGACATATAAGAACTGCTGGATAGCTCAGTGATTTCAGTCTCTGGCTGCGGAGCCAGAGGTTGGGAGTTCAATTCCCCACTGAGCCTCCCTGACAAGGGCTGGACTTGATGATCTCAAAGGTCCTTTCCAGCTCTACAGTTCTAAGAGGATGATGATATTTACAAGGCAAGACACTTGCTCAGGAACGAGTAACTGAAGGGAAGAGTATAATTTAAAATGGCAGAACACCCCTGGTTGTCACCTGCAGCTCCCAGCAGAGACCATGTTAATACTCTCCCAGGCACCAGCTCACCAGCTCTTGTGAGCCTGACAAGAAAAAAAGAGCACCTTTTGGTGCTCTGGCCAGTGAGAGGCAGGACTCATAGAAGCAAAAGCCCACCATGGTGTTGTGTAGCAAGCTGGGACCTTCATTCACTTCTGAAAGGGCAGTGAGATCCATTTGGATGGTCTGAGGGTAGACTAGCTTCGATGTCCTCTGGATCAGTGGTTCTTAACCTTGGGTTACTCAGGTGTTTTTGGACTGCAACTCCCAGAAGCCTTCACCACCAGCCATGCTGGCTGGGGTTTCTGGGAGTTGCAGTTCAAAAACACCTGAGTAACCCAAGGTTAAGAACCACTGTTCTGGATCACACTGTTTATCATTTCATGAGATGGAACGCACCCCTATCCCACAAAATCTGGCCCTGGTACATACCAAGGTACTAGCCGCTCCTACCCTTTAACACCTAAACCAGTCTTTTATCAGTATCCTGACTACAAGTATATATTTGAAATGATGTGATACTTCTAATTCAGGCAGAAATGTTAGTTGTTGCTTCCCTTTCTCATTTTAAAGGACTTCTGTGATGATTACAGAGCACAATCAGATATAGTCAATAGAGGAGTTTGACTCAAAGTTGTAATTTATGTAATTATAGATTTTTTTTCATTGATTACAGTGTGCCCAAAAGGAATGGGTCTGATGGTCCAGAGGAAGCATGAGCTGCTTTTGTAAACAAGAGCAGAAGAAATACAATTACATGGAGCCATATGTATACACGACAAGCCATTTTAACTTTCCTTGCCCAGTGAGAATGCAAGGAGCAAGGAAGAAGGGAGAGGTGTCAAGAAGGAAACGAGCAGCCTAGCAGTCAAGTTCTGTGAGGCAGGTGATGGAAACATCCGGAGTCTGGGCTTTTCCTGTGTGCGTACCTCATTATGAGAAGCTAGGCAATGACAACTTCCAACAGAAGGCCTGGGTGCTCAGAGTTTCTAAGGCCTCTGAAAGTACTGGGACTAGCACCTGAGACAGCTTTTGCTCACTTTGTAGAACTTTTCAAGAGTAAGGAGGAACTGATCTCCATGTTGAACAATATCTACCAGTCCTGGTCCTTGATGCTCTTCCAAACTAGAAAATGGATGCCATAGGCTTCCTTGCCTTGGTTTTTACTGGCCTGCTGTTCTGGGAAGCTTCTTCAATGAATAGCAAATGGCTCACAGAACAACGACAGATACTTGTTGACACACCAGATTTTACTCTGCCAGGAGATGTAGTCATTGGAGCCATTTCTCCCGCACATGCCAATGTGTCTTACATGAAGCTACACTTCACAAGGCAGCCAGCAGCAGATCCTTGCAAGAGGTAAGTCTCATTTTCAATATGTTACTTCTGCTTGCGTAGGAAGTAAAAAAAAGGATAACAAGGAACAAATGAAAGGGAATTATGTGATAGTGGTGGGTTTTTTTTAATGTAATGTAAATGCTGTCTGCTTCTCCTGCCACAAAGTGTAAGAGCAATTCTAGAGAAAGTTTTTATTTCACCATTTGGTGAGCTTCCCAGCTTTTTGGATTGAAATTCAGGCTGCTTTTAGGTGGCCCAACACTCCTTCTTTCAAACTCAAGGCAGACTTTCTATACAGTAATTAGGTCTCCTAATGTTTGCCTCAAGAGCTAGGAAGTGACATTTTGTCTTCAGCTTTCCATTTCACCAGAGAGACAAAGTGGTCCAAGATGTTTTGTTTCCTGTTGAAGAACAGAAAATAGCACCCTCATTACCAAAATCTGAGAGGGGAAATCCTGCAGATACCTTCTCTTCCTCCTTGCATCAATACAATAAGATCAATAATTTAAATTTTCTGCCTTTTCATGATACCCCAAATCATAATCTCTTGCCAGAGGCAAACTCCTTACTCTGCTTAATGGTAGGGCTGGTCCTACAGGGAGAGAAAGTGATATGCACAGGTTGTATCCAGTCAATGTTCAACCATATCTTCTCCCACCATTTCTGGTTTCATTGGAAAAGGAAACAGTCACAGCTTTTCTTGTTTAACATGAGATCAAACCTACTTTGAGAGATGAAAGGTGATGAAGATCTCACATTCTGGAGATATATAATTTAATATGTGGGGGATACATGACAAGAATGCATGAAATAAAATATTGATCACTTTCTGCTTGTGACATACTAAATAAGGAGAGGATTCTGAAAGCAGATGTACTAGAGCAGAATGAGTAGATGGTTTAAAATGTTAAATCCATGTTTTGTGATATCTCTAGCTATGTTTTTTCTAATCAAGCTTATAACTCATGATGTTAAAAACAAACAAACAAATAATCAAAACAAAGAAAGACTTCTAAGGATGAAGTCAAAGGAAGCAGGTGGATTGAATTGATACATGTAAGCCTAAATGAACATTTTCAGTGGCTCTGGGAGAATCCCTCCCGTGAAAGGAGACACCAACCGTATCTGAAATCTCTCTTTTCAGATTCCACATCAAGTTTTTCCAGAACATCCTGGCCATTGTCTTTGCCCTTTCAGAAATGAATAATGACTCCAGCTTCCTACACAACACCACTGTGGGCCTTCATTTCTATGATTCATGCCTCTCACCAGCCAGGGCACTGAAAGGTGCCCTTTCTTTCTTATCAGGCTCACAAGAACTGGTGCCTAACTTTCGTTGCTGCTCTCGTCCATTGCTTCTTGGTATGATTGGTGCAATGACTTCCCCAGAATCAGAGCCCATTGCTCATGTGCTTTCTATTTACAGAGTCCCACAGGTGGGCAATATTCCTAATGTTCCTTCTAAGTAATCTCTGTTTCAATTGGGTTGCTGTCAGTTTGCTGTCAGCTACCACCACTGGTGTGGAGGATAGAGTGATGGACTAAGACTCTGGCAAACAGGGCTTCAACCTCCACTTGGCCACATAAATTCTCTGGGGAAGGCCAACTGATAAAGCCACTCCTTGAAAGCCCTAATAGGGTTTCTTCAAGTCATTTTTGACATGACAGTACAGAACATATACACTACAGTTACCAATAAATATGCACTTTAAATGCATTTGTGCTTCTCCTTTCTTCATAATTCGTCTTTGCAACAGGCAAGAGCTTCTGTAAGTTAGCAGGACATGTGGTCTCCGTGATGCTTTATTACATGAATGGGGTGGCAGGGGAGTATCTCTCTTAAAGAGTTTCATATATCCTAGCTAGTCAAGAATCTTTCTTTAGAAAACAGTGTTTATAAGATTGAGTTATTAACAACAAACTTATTAAAACAACAAACTACCATCCTTGCAGCAGGGTAGGAATCCAGCATACCTAAAGGAAGCAGTAGTAAGACCATTGTTGAGAATCCTTGGATTCTATGGTATTGGACAACTACCAACTTGTCTTTCGTATTCCATTCTTGGACAAGGTACTAGTGCCGGTTGTGGCTTCTCAGCTCCAGAGGTTCCTGGATGAGACAGATTATCTAGATCCATTCTAATCTGCCTTCAGACCTGGTTATGGAATGGAAACTACTTTGGTTGCCTTGGTGGATGACCTATGCTGAGAACTGGATAGGGAGCATGTGTCCTTCTTGTTTCTGCTGGACTTCTCAGAGGCCATGGTATCTTTCTGGGTTGTCTCTGTAGGATGGGACATGGAGGAGAGAAATTCCTGGAGGAAAGAACTTGTTTTATGGTGGCTCTTGGAGGAGAGAACTTCTTGGAGGAAAGAACTCAAAGGGTGCTGCTGGTGGACTCCTGTTCAATAGTCTAGCTGCTGGCCTACAGGGTCCTTCAGGGTTCTGTTTTGTCTCCTGTGTTATTTAATATCTACATGAAAATGTAGGGAGAGGTTGTCTGGAATTTTGGGGTTCAGAGTCTCCAGTAGGCAGATGACACCAACTCTATCTCCACTTTCTGTCTAAATCCAAGGAAGTTAGATCAATGTTTGTGTAAGTAATGGACAGGGTGAGGGGTGAATAAACTGAAACTTAATCCAGACAAGGCTTCTTTGTTTTATCTCTCAGATCAGCCATGGTTCTCAACATCCAAAATTTTCTGACCGGCTCCAGTTCCCATCATTTTTCCGTACTGTGCCTTCCAGCAGCCACCAGCCCTATAAGATTGCTCATCTTCTGAAATACTTCAACTGGACATGGGTAGGCCTGATAAACTTCCGTGTTGAGGCTACCGAAATGCAGAGTGCTCTAGAAAAGTATTTGGCACAAGCTGGTGGCTGCCTCGCCATGTCCAGAACAATTCGTGACCCATATTCAGAGATCAATACAGTGGCAAGGGAGATTGGGAGCTCCACCGCCACGGTGTTCCTGTGCCACTGCTACCATTTCCACTTCCAGCTGCTAGCTAAGGCTCTCCAGGCACAAAATATTCACAAGATGTGGATCATGACAGCCAGCTTTGCAGTGGACCCGGAGATATTCACCAGTGAAATGTTGCACCTCTTGAATGGGAGCTTAGATCTAAGGGTTCATTCTGATAAGATACCTGGTTTTAAGAACTTCTTGACCACCTTTCGCCCTGCTGCTTATCCTAGTAGCCATTTGGTAAAAATACTTTGGCAAAACTTGTTTAAGTGTACTTGGCCAAGTGTTGAAAGTACCAGGGATGGTGTAAATAGATCCCGTCCTTGCACTGGGGTAGAGGAGTTGGATGCTGGCCATTTTGATCTGAATAACCCAGCTGCCACATTTCAGGCCTACCTTGCAACCAGGGCCTACATCACAGCCTATCGTGACATGACGTCTTGCACATTCAACAAAAGGAGCTGTGTCAGAGCAAAGCCTTTCCAGCCATGGCAGGTGAGTCCACTATACCTTTCCTTTCTCAGACTCCGCTGCTGTTTGACACAGGTATCATTTGTGCCATAAAGCCGAGTGCAGCTGGCTCCAGGCCAGATTAACTTTACAGGTATCAGCAGAGGCAATCTTGAAAGAGTAGTATCTTCGGATAACATGGTTACCAAAGGAGAACCTTCCCAACAAGGATTCAGGTTTACAGGACAGTCCCAAACAAGGAATTTAGCGAAATGGGATTTTTACTGTTTGCCTTTCCAATACCTGGTGGCTGAAATAATCAAAAACAGATTATCATTCATAAATAAAAAAACTTTGTTACAAACTTAAAGTTCTGGGACAGAAAAAAAATGGTGTCTAGTGTCACTTCTGGCTGCATGACCAGGGCCCTGGTTACATGAGGGAAATGTTTTCTAGTTATCCCCCAGTTAATTTGTTACTTTTTTTTTCTGGTCACACGATGCAGTCAAGATTGAGACATTTTTTCTGACCCGTGGTCTAACTGTGGAACATTTCTCCTAAGATAATGCAAGAGATATGTAGTGAGAAGTGAAGCTTGAGAGTGTCACAGTACAAGTAAAGCAGCAGCAGAACATAAAATACAAAGGGCGGGGGGGGGAGGGAACCAGAGAGCCCTAGCTGCCTGTCTCTGCCTCTGCCGCCTCCTGCAGGCGCATAGTCCCTTGTAGGATCCCTACCAATATATACACCATGGAAAGTTGCCTGGGTGGCAACTGAACTGGGGGAACTATGGTACATATGGAAGAAATCAGTCTGAATTCATACATATCAGTTGTCTCTGTTACAGACCTGTCCTGTAGGAACTGACATTAATTGTGTTGGTGGAATACAGCAAGCTAGTAAGGTGAGCTTATAGCTATGAGTGAAGAGTGTGCATTCAGGATGCTCATAGTAACATAAATGGGGAAGAAAAGCACTTCTGACTGTACCAAGAAGCCCTTTCAGGATAAACCTGGATTTGAGTAGTACAGAAACTCCTAGAGTGGGCTTTGATGCGTGCAAGTGTGCTGGAAGGCCATCCCTTGATTGTTTTCTTGAAGGAGAAAGAAGTGTCCTAAGTGTGGCAAGCTGCAAGTGGTCACTTACAGGACAGCAATGCAGGCCAAGACACCCAGTCCTACTTGTCCATCCATCTATCTCTTAAAACTTTCCACCCTTAACGCTTAACATTAAATGCAACATTGCTGAGCTTAGTTTAATGTGTCCATCTGTCCTCATTTATGGCACTTTGGGATTAGAATTCTCACTGTGCATAGGTGCCACTGTGTCAGATCTTAAATTGCCTTGGAGCTATTCTGCCATTCCCTATTCTGCTACAATGCACCTGTAAATCTATTTGGGATGGATTTGGCAGAAGCCGAGGGAGACTATATTCCTCTAAGGTTCTGCCTGCTTCTGCCTGTCTCTTTTGAACCAGACAACATGGTACATCTGTAAGTCACAGCTGATACATTTCAAACATTTGGAGAAGGACTGATTATAGACACATGTCTTTTTTCAACAAAGCAAGTCTGGACATTTTAAATAATGCCTATAAGTATCCTATGAGTTTTCTGTTCATGAAGGAAACAAATTTCTGCTGGTTTATGGATGACTGTTAATGTCAATATTGGGTAAATCTGGTTCTAGCTAGCAAACACATAATCAACATCATATCTCTGTCTTTTAACTATCAACATGTCTTTCAGGTCTATCATTATGTGAAGAACATCAACTTCACTATTTCATCACAGGAGATTTTCTTCAAGGATGGTGAAGTTCCAGCTGTATTTGACATTACAAACTTACAAATTTCGCCCAATGGCTCTTTAAAAGCAGTGAAAGTTGGACAATTTCACTCTGGATCTCCACTGGGAAAAGAACTTGTGGTACAGGACAGTGCCATTGTGTGGACAGGGAACCCTGCTCAGGTAATGTTTATGTCATTCTGGCATATGGCTAAAGTGAGATGCAAAAACTTTGGGGAGAGACACAAAGACAGAGGTAGATTTGACACTCAGTAGTGAAGGTCACCAGGAGCAGGGTGCAACCCCAAAGTGTTCCTTCGGGAAGCCTTGTGGGTGAATATTTGTCATTTACTCATGTGTTGAAGTGTGAGGAGGATAAAAACCAGCTTTCCGTGGTAGGCATATGGATCAAATATGCTTCTAGACATACAATGTGAACAGTTGCTGGACTACAGTTCTTGGAATTTTTTGTGGTTTGCAGATGGTGGGCATTTCCTTAGTGGGCATGGAAGAGGAAAAAATTGTGGTTTTTTTTCTGTTGATCTTTCAGCCTGCTCACCAACAAGAAATCACTGTTGAGATTCTGACCAAACAGTAGAATTTATTGTGCAAAACTTTAAAGCCATATATTTTATTTAAATATAAGTGCAACATCTTAGACAATGATTTCCATTGCTTCCTTGGCTCTGACATTTGTATCCAGCTGATTAGTATATAGTGCATACATCACATTATCTTGAGGTTCTCCCTCTATGGGACATTCAATTGAACTCCTCATCATGTCTTTCCAAGATACAAGAAATGTGGTGTTTTCACCTTTAGGTTTGCTGTAATCCATTTGCTTTGTAACTCCAGACAAGAAACATAGCCTGATTTTGTCCCTTTTCTTTTTCTTTTCTTTTAGGTGCCCCATTCAGTCTGCACAGAGAGCTGTCTGCCTGGACAGAGAAAATTACCTTTGCAGGGAAAACCGAGCTGCTGTTATGACTGTCAGGGATGCCCTGATGGACAGTTTGCCAGTGGAACAGGTAAAGAAAGTGGTTTGCCCGTGGAACAAGTGAACTTGCTAGTTTTTCTAAAATATATTCCAAACTTTACCTGTCTGCGATTTTTTACTAGGGAAGCGTAACTATTGAAATGACAATCTCCTCACTTCCATCTTTACCACCAGTAAACTGTGACAGTAACAAAATATCTCAGCCAAAGTTCACAGTATGGATACCCTATGTTTCCTGCAAGTATTGTATAGGTATTCATTCAATTAAGAACGGCTTGAGTTAAGAACATTTTGACTTAAGAACCGCTCTCATAGGAAAATATTGACTTGACTTAAGTACTTAGATTTGAGTTAAGAACTAAAAAAAAACATGTGGGAGGCAGGGAAAGTGCAAAATTTGAACTTTCAGTTAACTGTTGGCCAGTGAAAAGGGTGCCTGTCTGCTTCCTCACTCCTCCCAGCGTTTAGAGAGTGGATTGGAAGACAGTCTTCAGACTGCCTGGTACTGTACTGCCTGGACTGTATTTTCCCTGCCTTCCCTGAACCTTTCTTGACCTAAGAAAAAAAGAAACAAAATATTCCCCTCTAGTGGTCGAAGGCGGAATAGCAGCTTCCCATTAGTTTCTATGGACAGAAAAGAGCAGATATGGATCAAATGGTTTTCAATGCATTCCTATGGGAAATGCAGATTTGACCTGAGAACTTTTTGACTTGAGAACCGCCTTCCAATACGGATTAAGTTCTCAAGTCAAGACCCCACTGTATAGGCATTCATTCAAGTACTGTATAGGAGACAATATGCCTCCATGTATCAGTTAGTGGAGAGTGCAAATACTATTGTCTTCATGTCCTTCACATTATTCAATCATCATACAATACCTGCAGCCTCTCTCTCTCTCGTATTGTGTGTACATTTCTTTCCATAGACAGTGCCAACTGCTGGAACTGCCCTCCAGGCCAATGGCCCAACCACATCCAAGACCGGTGTTTTCCAGTGACAATTGACTTCTTGTCCTACACAGAAACTTTGGGAGCTGTTCTGGCTACAAGCAGTTGTTTGCTTTTCCTCCTCTCGCTGTCCATTTTATACATTTTCATACGGTACCGCCACACACCAATTGTCAAGGCCAATAACAGGGCACTCAGCTACCTCCTCCTGACTTCTCTGGCTCTCTGTTTCCTCTGTCCATTCATGTTCCTTGGACGCCCATCCCAGCTGACGTGCTCACTTCGCGAGACTGTTTTTGGCTTAGTCTTCGCAGTCTGCCTTTCTGCAACTCTAGCCAAGACTGTGACCGTGGTGCTGGCTTTTAGAGCTTCCAAGCCCGACAGCTACTTTCAGAGGTGGGTGGGCTACAAGCTCTCTGTGGCTATCACTCTTTGCTGCCCCCTCACCCAGGCTGCTGTCTGTGTTGTCTGGATAACAGAGCGGGCCCCATTCCCATCACAGAACCCGCTCCATGGAGGGCCTCATGTGACGCTGGAGTGTGACAAAGGTTCCCTACAGTATTTCTATATTATGCTGGGGTACCTGGCCTTGCTGGCTATCATCAGCTTAGGAGTCGCCTTTCCAGCCCATCGGCTACCAACCGCTTTCAATGAGGCCCAGCACATTGCCATTAGTATGCTGATTTTCACTTTTGTCTGGATCGCCTTTGTGCCATCCTATCTCAGTGCCACCGGGAAGTACATGGTGGCAGTGGAGATCTTTGCCATCCTGGCCTCTGCAGGAGGTTTGCTGGGTTGCCTCTTCTTCCCCAAGTGCTACATCATTCTATTACGGCCGGACAGGAATAACCGGTGTTTCCTCCTAGGGAGGCAATTCCCACATAACTGAGATCAGCTTTATCTGTCCGTAACTGGTTCACAGGGATAATGATTAAAAGCCTTCTAACATCTACCGTTTGATTTAAGAAAATACTCAAGAGAGCTGGCAACATCAGAAATGAAACACCAACAACGTACTAAATATTAAGCCATTAAAACAGAGACAGGGTTAACAGGGAAGCTTTATTTTGTCAACATGCCTTACGACCAATTGAATAAAATGTATTTACTAACAATTTAATCATGGTATTCTCGAAGGCTTTCATGACCAGGATCCGATGGATGTTTAAATACTCAAGAGAGCTGGCAACATCAGAAATGAAACACCAACAACGTACTAAATATTAAGCCATTAAAACAGAGACAGGGTTAACAGGGAAGCTTTATTTTGTCAACATGCCTTACGACCAATTGAATAAAATGTATTTACTAACAATTTAATCATGGTATTCTCGAAGGCTTTCATGACCGGGATCCAATGGATGTTGTAGGTTTTCGGGCCAAACAACCCAAAAAACCTACAACAACCAATTAATCATTCCTAAAGGGTCATACAGGGACGTGGTGGCACAGTGGGTTAAACCGCAGAAGCCTCTGTCCTGCAAGGTCAGAAGACCTGCAGTCGTAAGATCAAATCGACACGAAAGACCTGCAGTCGTAAGATCAAATCGACATGACAGAGTGTCCCAGCTCCTGCCAACCTAGCAGTTTGAAAGCATGTAAATACAAGTAGATAAATAAGTACCACCTCGGTGGGAAGGTAATGGCCTTCCATGTCTAGTCACGCTGACCATGTGACCACGGAAACTGCCTTCAGACAAACGCTGGCTCTGTGGCTTGGAAACAGGGATGAGCACCGCGCCCTAGAGCTGGACACAACTGGACTAAATGTCAAGGGGAACCTTTACCTTTACCTAAAGGGTCATACGCTGCCTATAGCTTTAAGAGCCATGGGGTGGTATATGCAGTAAGCAGCATGCTTTAGTAAGTGCACTTGAGGAACGGTCTTCCCCATCCCCCACCTCTTCCTGAAGCTCCTTATTCCAGTTCATCTGCCACCATAAAATGCAAGCTCTAGTGTTTTCCAGTCATCACTTCAGACACTCTGAATATTTGTTTGCTTGTTTGTTTTATTTTTACCCCACCTTTCTCCTGAAAAAGGAGCCAAGGCAGCTTATTTCATTAAAAGACTAATTCTTTAGTTATTTATTTATTTATTCAACTTATATGCCGCCCACTCTACCCAAAGGTCTCTGGGCAGTTCACAATTAAAGCTAACAATGGTGAGTAATGCAACTACAAAAAGGAATCAAACAAATCCCATACTAAAAAAACATAAGCAACAGCATGAGGTGAAATAACACAGAAATTTGTGTAATTTTAAGACCTTGATGTTGGGAAAGTGTGAAGGCAAGAGGAGAATGGGACATCAGAGGACAAGATGGTTAGACAATGTCATCAAAGCTGCCAACATGAATTTGACCTAACTCCGGGAGGCAGTGGAAGACAGGAGGGCCTGGCGTGCTCTGGTCCATGGGGTCATGAAGAGTCCGACATGACTTAATGACTAAACAACAATGAAATATTTATTTAAAATTGTAATTATACAATAACAAAATCTGGTCCATTAACAACAGACATACAATGAGATCAATTTTTAAAAAATGAATCAAATATAAACAATAGGGATATTATTCTAACTGTCAGAAACTAACTATACGTACATTAAAGCATTGGTTCCTCTCTCTAACAAAATTTTTGCCTAATTACACTACAGATCTTGCCACCATCCCCATTTAACTCATGACCAGCTGTGAGGTGGAGACAGGTTGCTGTTTACAGAAGGGCTCCATACACGCCCTGGGTTAATTAGGGATTCCCCTGTCCCTTCCATTTTTCCCTTGAAACTCTTGTCATGTGTGCACAGAAAAAAAATAAGCAGGTCACCTACAGGGAGAACAAATTGTTGGAAACCAGGAGAAGTAAAATAAAGAATGGAGAGTGGTTTAGTAAAGAGAAATCAAGAGAAGACACAAGAGTGTTGGGGCAGTCATAGGATGGTGTGTGTGCATGCTTGTCTCGCATATGGATTGGGGAATTGAGGATGTGTTTCTGCCTGTATGTCTGTGTGACTAGCGTGTGGCCAGCTTTGTACCTGGTATCTTCTCTCAAGGTTGTTCTTTACAATATGTTTGCATTATTACTGTACATGTACAGGGATATGTCTGGTGCACTTAGAAGGTGCTGCCCATGCTGATTAAAGCAGTCTTTCCTACTTCTGAGTAGACAGCTATAAGGTGTATTTTGTACCATTCTGCTTTTCACTCTTAAACCTTCGTAGCAATTGGGTAGGATAGCTGTGGTGAGGAGGCTCACAGAGTAAATATTTTGGATTATTAGAACTTGCTACTCAATGCTCACACAGACATGTGAATAGGCAAGACCATTTCTATTAGAAACTGGAAATGTTACTTTTTGGCCATACTGGATTGAGGTTCTGGGAGTTCTAGACTTTTTAAAAAATTCCTAAGCTTTGATCTTGTTTGTCTTTGGTGCATGAATTTTTCATCTGCCATTGCAGCAGTAATGAACCCTATCATTTTTTTAAAAGGCCCTTGAAAGCAAATCTTCAGCACATATCATGTCTTGATTACACATTGTTTAAACATTTTAGGTGACAGCTGTGCCTTTTTACAAGGGCTCAAGAGGGTAATGAAAAAAATCAACTGATATATCTAACAAAGATCTGTTAGATTTTTCTGTGCAGAGTTAAACTTACATTCAATCAACAGCAGTTCTTCAAAGATGTTCATTACAAGTCGTGAGGTTCATCATGACAATACAGGGAGGCAAATTTTCCTTTTGAGCCTCAGATGATTGTTCTTTACTTGGCTGAGGACTTTCTCCAAAGCTCTTTTTACATCTCTGTTCCTCAGGGTGTAGATAATGGGATTCAGCATTGGGGTGACAACAGCATAGACCACAGATACCACTTTGTCCATATCTGAAGTTTGGCCAGAATGTGGGCAGATGTACATGAAGATGACTGTGCCATAGAATATGGTAACCACTGCAAGGTGGCTGGAACATGTGGAAAAAGCCTTCTGCCTTCCAGAGGCAGAAGGGATATGGCAGATGGTAGAAACAATCAGGACATATGAAGTCAAAGTCAGAAGGAAAGACAGGAGCACAACCACTGCAGAGACAAGAAAAACCATTGTGTCAGCCAAGAAGGTATTACCGGTTGACAACTTAATCAAGGGACCAGTGTCACAAAAGAAATGGTTGATCTGGTTGCTGCTATTGAAGGGAAGCTGAGAGATGAAGGCTATAGGCAAGAACGGGGTCAAGAAGCCACTCAGCCAGGAACCCAAGGCTAGGCAGGCAGAGGCCCGGCTGTCCATGAGTAACGGATATTGCAATGGGTGGCAGATGGCCAGGTATCGGTCATAGGCCATGGTCGCCAAGAGGAAGAATTCTGTGGTGCCGAAGAAGAAGAAGAAATACATCTGGGTGATGCAGTTCCGAAAAGAGAGGGCCCGGGAACCAACAAAGAAGTCTTCCAGCATCCGTGGAACTGTGACAGAGGTATAACACATTTCTAGGAATGAGAAATTACTTAGGAAGAAGTACATGGGAATGTGCAAACTCACATCTGTATTTGAGAGGAGAATAATTAAGCCATTGCCAAGGAGTATGAAGAGGTAAGCTATCAACAAAGTAGTGAACAAGAGGAGCCGGAATTTCTGGAGACCAGGGAAACCCAGCAGGATGAATTCAGGAGCGGAGGTGTCATTCACCATAATTCTGGTAATGCCTGTACATTCAACAGAAAGGGAAAGAGGAAGGGAGGTCAGTGAAGGAAAGAGACAACAGAGTCCTTGACTTACAGAAAGACCCCTGGCAGAAACCAGCACTTGCTGTTCTAAAATTAATAACCACACCTAGGACATCTTGAGTTTGCTCAAGCAAAACACCTTGAATGCACTAATCAGAGTTCTTTCTCATTATACAAATAAATGCATGGGTTGTGCTAATATATTTTGTCTATAATATATATTATATACAGGTACAGTAATATGAAGTCAGTTTAGGTTGGATTTTCAGCCATCTAGTAGTGGTGATGTGGTCTTGCATTCATGTCCAAACTTCATTTCCCCTTGTCCTGATTTTCTTTTCTTTTTTCTCCTGAGGGAAGGGTTAAGCTAGGTTTGACTAATGAACTGGACACATATTAGAACACTGACATGTTCAGCAGCACTCCCAAACCACTAGGCGATAATCATAACCCTCAAGTGTAGATTAGAGATTGACTCAGTAACTCGATATCTTCCTGTGGTACAACTCCAAGTCTTAGCAGATAGTTCAAGGACAGGAAACATTACTTTTTTTAAATGACAGCTCCCAGAATCCTACAGCCGACATGGGCAAAGATCATGGCGCTTACTCTGTGATTCTTGGAGTTATAATTTTAAAAAGTAACTTTTTTCCATTTGTGGGCACCTTTCACCTGAGATTCTGTATCCAACTCTTTATTTAGAAGTTTTAGGCAAAGGAACTGCCGTAGCTCATTGTGGAAACCAAGTGAGGCCCTACCCCAGCCTTGACATTTGACTGCTTTTCCCCCAGGAGATAGAACAGGTGGAGAAAATCTGGTGGTTTTTCAAAGAAGAATAAAATCAATTCATACTGATAGGAAAAAAAACTGGAATATGGCAATTGATGTATGTGAATTATTTCATGTAAATTCTTTATGTTGTGAACTTAAATTCATCATATGCAGAAATCTGCAAGTTGAAGTGGTCTTGTTAAAGTCTTAATTTTAGGAGAGAGTGCAACAGTTTTGTAAAGGAGGGCATGCTTTTCAAAAAAGATCCCTGCTCAATATCCTAGAGAGTTGCCACCACTCAGTATGGATAAAACTGAGCTAAATGAAACCACCATTGATCCAATATAAACACAGTTTCCTGTGTGTCCAGCCCTTAATGAGTTTTGCCACAATCCAAAATTAAACTAAGATCACCAAAAACAATAGTTTTAACATCTGAGTAACTGTGTAATAGATTATGACCAAAGTATCAACTATTCCAGTGTTGTATGGAGTGGAGCCTCAAAATCTAATGCATCATACGTTCTGTAATGTGTTTAAAGGAATGAAAATGAGATTAAAAGCCAAAACTTCTTAAAAATTAAATGCTTTAGTATATATACATCTATACATTCTACTCCATCTTCTCTCTTCAATGATAACCTGTTTCAAAGGCTGGCTTTCACAAAGTGATCACTTATTTTACACCCATTCCATGTGAGGGTCATGCACGCACTTTCCCTACATTTCACCTAGCATTCAGAATTCCACTCAAACTATACAACAAAAGATAATATAATATTTTGCAACTGAAATAAGTTATGAACATCATGCATTTGTTTTTCTAATGTGTCCACTTGAATCTAGAGCAGTTATGTTCAGCCATTTCACATGTTTTTTGCTAGGAGAGGTACACACAGGATAGCGAGGTGCAACTAGGGTGTATAGGTAGATACACACTTTGGGGGCTGTGGAGAAAGACATCTGTGGCATTTTCATACCCAAATATGAGACTCTTCTAATTCCTCAACCCTTTACAGATTGTACAGACATCTTAGTTTTCTTATGCAACTATAAGAATGCAATAACATTATTGTCACATATTAATCTCATAGCAAGCTGGGATCAGAGATGCACGGAGACCATCATGACATACCTCAACTGACAAAGCCAATTTCTCACTCACTGAAAAGTAGCCCCAGCTGAAGTGGCCGTCCTTTTGCTGGACTCCTGCAGTCTAGTGTAATCCAGTTCACAAAAGGATGGGAGTATCCTTTTTTTAAAAAATTACATCTTTCCAGGTGACAATTTTTGTATGCAAGGAAGGATTCTGCTTACAGTTGCCATCAGTTGCTGCTTTGGCAGGATCAAGATCTGACTTTTCCAGTTCACTCAGTCATACTACATAGTATTTCCCTGTCTGACACCTGAGTACAGAGTTGGGTCTTTGGCTGTCTCAGCAGGAAGATCAAATGGGCTGGTAGAAATGGCACTGAAGCCTTGGGTTGGAGCTACCATGCCTTTATAACTTCATCTGGATTCCCTAGAGAGATCTGGTTTGCTGCCTGGGGTGGATAGAAGATCTACAGGCCAATTATCCCTCAATAAGTTAATTTGGAAACACATCAGACTCGGTCATACAAACCTGTTGGGTGGGGGGGAATAGTCCTGTTTCAAATGTCATGGATAACGCTTGAGGCATTTTAACCCTCTTGACAGAGCAGCAAACCCAAGAGAATGATTGCTGTATCTCTGCAATTCTGGTATTTACTCTGACATTCTGCAACGCTGAGAGATTACTCCCCTCTGGGTACATATACACAGATAGTGGACAAGTCACCTTTCTGGAATGCAATTCCCAGGAATTGTAGCCCAAAACAGAAACTTTTTCTGGCTCTGTGTATGAACCCAAGAGAAGAAAAGACCGGAGGAAGCCAGAAGATGGTCACCTCCCACCTCCTCACTTCCTCCCTCAGTGTATTCTGACAAACTATGCTCCTCAGTCCCCAGGCATGTCCTCTTCTCAGTTTTCATCTCAGTCTGTCCTCAGCCTCTTCCAAATATGTTATTCCTTAGAAGAGAAAAACCAGGAAATGCTCTTTTTTAAAGAAGCCAAACCAATGTTAGTGAGCTTCTGCTAAATAAACTTTGCACTGCCCATTCAGTGTCAGAAAGTATTTCAGAGAAATCATGTGCACTGTCTGTGTACACCACAGATGAATTGAGATATACGTAATTGACACAAACATTTGCCATGTCAAAGGGAAACTCCATAGGCTAGGAGGAAACTATTGGATTCTATCAGCTTGTGTGGATGGGTCAGTTCCTAACTGGTCCTCAGACCATCTCAGAGGTTTGTTGTTGTTGTGAGGTGATGTCAAGTTGCCTCCAACTTATAACCCTAAGAATTAGTGACCTCGAAAATGTCCTGTCCTCAACACATCTTGTAAACTCAAGCTTATGACTTCCGTTATGGAGCCAATTCCTCTTATATTTGGTCTTCCTCTTTTCCTGATGCCTTCCACCTCTCCCAGCACTGTTGTCTTTCCCAGAGGATCCTCTCTTCTCATAATGTGCCCAAGTAGGACAGCCTCCATTTTAACATTTTTGCATCTCCATATTCTGTCTCAACAGTAGTTCCTTGTCCACAATAGAGGTTACACATCAGGAAAATCAAGTGTTGAAGCACACCAGTTTCTTTCAGAAGAACCCATTGTTTCTCATGATCCACACAGTCAAAGGCTTTGCTGTAGTCTATGAATACATACTGATCTGAAATTCTTCAGTGCTCTCCAGATATCTGCAAAATGATCTGAGTGTCTCTTCCTTTTTTGAAATCTAGGTTACACATCAGGACAATCAAGTGTTGAAGCACATCAGTTTCTTTCAGAAGAACCCATTGTTTCTCATGATCCACACAGTCAAAGGCTTTGCTGTAGTCTATGAATACATACTGATCTGAAATTCTTCAGTGCTCTCCAGATATCTGCAAAATGATCTGAGTGTCTCCTCCTTTTTTTTGGAATCTAGCTTGAACATCTTACATTTCTCACTCCATATAAGGTAAATGCTTTTGTTGCAAGACCTTGAACATTCTTTTGCTTACATGGGAAATTAGAGCATTTGTCCTATAATTACTGTGTTCCTTGGCATCTCCTTTCCTGGTGATTGGAATGTATATTGAATGTGTCCAGTTAGGGGTCCATGATTTTGTTTTCCATGTTTGCTGGCATATTCCTGTTTGGATACTGACAGATTCAATCTCTGTGGCTTGAAACATTTCCATCAGTATCCCATCTACGCCAATAATTTATTTATTCCCAGTGTTTTTAGAGCAGCTTTCACTTCACTTTCTAGAATTACTGATTCTGCACTCTTTTTTGAAAATTATTATTTTTATTCATACGTACCAACATACAGAACAAAAAACTAAAACCTAACAATAATAACAAAAAAATTCAGAACTAAACATCCCTGCTACACCTATAGATCAGAGATTTTTGCCATTATCTGGTCATCTGAATATCATCAAAGGATTCCAGTGAGCACTGATTCACCATAAACGAATTCTTCCTCTAAATTCCTGTCTTTTCCTGGGCCCAGTTATATATCAGCTTCCAGCTTTCCTTTACAAAGTGTCTTGGTTGATCCCGTAGTGTCTCTGAAAGCATATCTAATTCTGCAATGTCCAATAGCTTTTTAAATAGCTCATCCATTAAATAGTTAATTAATAGTTTCTCCATTCCTCCATTTTTGGGCCCGGAGTAACCTAGCTGCAGTAAATATATACAGTAGCCTATATTTGATTTTCTTATCAATAATTTCTGGCATTATATTCAATAATAACATTTCACGTTTAAAACTTAATTTTTGCTGAACAATTTCTTGTGACATTTCCCAAACCTGTGACCAAAATTGTTTTGCTTTTTCGTATGACCACCATACATAATAATAAGTCCCTAGATTTTTTTTTACATTTCCAACAAACATTACTGATCCCTTCTGACATTTTTGTCAATCTTACCAAAGTAAAATGCCATCTAAGAAACATTTTAAGGATGTTTTCTCTAAGAAACTGGCTTAATCATTTTATAGTTGTCTTTCCACATTTTTGTCCATTCATCAATATAAATATCATATCCAAAGTTTTGTGCCCCTTTTACCATCACCCCCTTCACCCTCTCATCCTCTAGATCATCCTCTAATAGATATGTATATATTTCTTGATTATTTTCTCTTTATTATAAATCCATAGTTCATCCACCTGAACTTTCCCCTCAAAAGAAGTCCATGTTTTTGTCCTTTTTATATCCTGATTCTAGTTTCAGCATTGACCACCAATCTGTAGCTAGATCCAATTTCTCTAGGTCTTGTTTCTCTTTCATATTCTGAT